AATAAACACTTTTTAAGTTAAATTGTGGTTGGTGATGGGCGAGAGCTGCCTACGCCCCGTGTTGGGGAGCTGCTGTTCCCCATGAGTGGTCTCGGGGATTCGCTTATGCCTCGCCGATCTCTCGTTGGCGTTTTTATCAATTCAGGGACATTCTCAGCGTTCCCTGTGGCAGGGGGGATTGGCACTGGTTGAAAGGATTGTATTTTTCCACCAAGTAGATCTTTATTTCCGTGAAAAATGCCATATGGAGCCTGCAGCCTTGCGTGTGCCCTGGCTGGGTCACCTCTTGTCAAGGTGAGCACGTCCCTCCCCATAAATGCAGGTGCACTCCTTCCCCTTCCAGAGATCTCAGCCAACACCAAAGGTACGTCCCGCTCCCCTCCCCTCCTGCACCCCAGGAGTTCCCCTCTCCGACATCGCCTTCTCCAGCTCGGCTTGGTTTCGCCGAGATGCTCTGCTGGGGCTGAACCTGGGCGCAGCTCATGAGCATCACCCGGGATGGATGCAGTCCTCTATGGGTGCCTCTGCTTGGGAGGCTGCGGAGGCTGCTGAGTTCCCGGGGGATGGGGAGGATTTGCAGGGCTTTGGGCAGTTCGTGGCATGACCAAATGGGAACGTTACCAAATTACGGCGTTACCGAATCACCGTGTTACAAATGCAGGGGCTGGGGTGTTTCAGATGGTGGCGTTTGCAGCCGTAGGCAGGATGCAAGCGGGGAAAGGTGAGGATTTAACCAGAGCAGCTGCTCCGAAAGAAAAAGGGAGGCCAGGGGCAGCAAGCCCTTCCCCAGCTCGGGCTCCAGGTGTGCCGAAAGCCGGGGCGTTTGCCGGCCCTCAGCCCATCTTACCGGGGCTCCTGGCAAGGCTGAGTGCTCAGGGCTCCTGGGCTCAGGCAGGGCTCAGATTGCATCCGCTGGTGAAATATTACCCCGGGGAGCTGAGCGCCACGGGAAATACTTCCCAAATGCCTTTCCCCGTGGGCGAGAGCCACCACACTGCCTTGGCAGGGGGGCCTGGGAGACTCCAGCCTGGGTGAGGACGGGGCAGGGGCTGTGCTGGGGGGTGGGGGGGGCGGGTACCCCCGGGGATAGGGAAGGAGGTGGGGAGGGGTGTTGGGAGGGGGGATCCATCCCTTGCTGTGTCCTACCACAGCTGCTGTGGGGTCTTTTGGGTCTCTGGGGCAGACCCAGCAAGTGGTGGGAGAGGCACAAGCCAAGCGACCTTGGTGTCCCCAGCCACTGTCACCCACCCCAGGCTGGGAGAGGCGTCCGGGCTGAGCACAGTGAATGAGGAAGTGACTGCTCTGTGTCACCATGAAAGGGCATCTGCTCCTTCACCAGAGAATTATCCACTCTGACCTCGCGGGTGGTCTGGCCTCCCTCCAGAAGGGACAGGCAGGATGAGCCCCTTCATGAGGCAGGAGCTGGGTGGCTGGACAGAAGCATCCCTGTGTCCTGGTGGTTCGCTGGAAAACGGATGCCTCCCAGTGAAACCAGTATGCCCAGTGGGAATACCCTGGGCACTCTCATCATCTGTGCCAAATTCCCCTCCCAGCCAGTGGAGCTGAGCCTGTCCCTGCCCCTCTGCACTCAAGATGGCATCCTTGAAGCTGGTGCTGTCACTGCTGATTGCAGCTCTCCTCCTGCATGTGGCCACCACGCTGAAGATCAGCGCCTTCAACATCAAGACGTTTGGGGACAGCAAGATGTCCAACCAGACTGTTGCAGATATCATCGTCTCTGTGAGTGCTGGGGGAGAGGAGCAGTCTTGGCCACTCTCTGGTCTCTGGGATGCAGACAGCTTGGGGCAGTTGGACAACAGCTTTCTGCAGGCTTCTGTCCATCTGTGTGTCCATCCGTGCATCCACCCACCCATAAATCCACCTGTCTGCACCCTCTATCCATCCACCCATCCATTCATTCATCCATCCATCCATCCATCCATCCATGCCTCTATTCATACATGCCTCCATGCCTCCATTTATCCATCCATCCAAGCCTCCATCCATCCACCCATCTGCTCTTCCCCCATCACCATCTCCGACCTTGGGCCATCTCCACTCTTGCCGGTCCCCAAACAAGGACAGGTGATGCTCGGTGCTGCCCAGGCTCCTCACTCAGAGCAGTCTGTGAATGAGGAGTTGCTGAGATGGGGAGTGGTAGACAGATGGGTGTTGGAGGGCACTGTGTCACCCCAGGGTCCTTCCAAGACAGAGGACACTGGCATCAGCAGAGTAGCTCCGTTTCTGGGCCCTGGGGTCCCTGCTGCCCCCCTGTTGCCAGGCTGGGAGCCTCCGCTGCCCAGCCCAGGCACCCACTGGTGCCCCTACGAGCAGCTCTCAGTTGGGGGGTGAGCAGCTCTGAGCTTGTCCCCCCAGATCCTGTCAGAGTACGACATCACCGTGGTGCAGGAGGTCCGGGACACCGATCTTAGCGCTGTGAAGAAGCTCGTGGACCTGCTTAACAGGTGACCCCGATGGCACAGGGCAGGGGGTGCCTGCAAATGAGATGCTGGGGCAAATCCCGGCAGGCATCTCGCTATGCCAGGGCACCTCCAGCTCAGCCAGAGAGAGCCCGATGGGTGCTGAGGAGCACCGGGAGCCTCCTCTCACCATCTCCACATCTCGCTCCCAGTGTGTCCCTGCACCCATACAGCTTTTTGGACAGCATCCCCTTGGGTTGGTCCAGCTACAAGGAGCAGTACATCTTCATCTACAGGTAAGGGATGCCACCAGGCTCTGGCATCCTCCGTGTCACTCACTGTCCTCCCCAGCAGTCCCTGAAGGGCGGTGGGTACATTTCGGGTCCTGGATGTGGCAGGAGCAGTGCTGGGGGCTGCCCCACTCTCCTCCCTCAGGTCAGACATGGTCTCCGTGCTGGGAAGCTACTACTATGATGATGGCTGTGAGTCCTGTGGGACCGACACCTTCATCAGGGAGCCCTTCATTGTGAAGTTTTCCTCGCCCACCACGCGTGAGCAGAGCCGGTGCTGGGAGCTGCCCAGACCTGGCACGGGTCCCCTCCGTGCAGGGCTGAGCCCAGAGCTGCACCTGCCTGGCAAGGGGGTTGCAGCCTGGAGCCCAGCTCAGGGGCTCCACTGGGGTCGTTCACTGCTGTGGGGCCTGCTCCCACCCGTGGATGCCCAGGGGTCCTGGGTACCTGCCCAGCATGGCCGATGCTGCCTGCTGTTTCGCCCCTTCTGCCATCTCCCACCATCTCCCATCTCCTCCCATTGCCAGTCATCTCCCACCATGCTCTCTCCAGTTGTGTGCCATCTCACGTCTCCTGCTGTTTCTCACTGTGTCCCACATCCCATCACCTGCTACCTCCCATCTTGTGTCATATCCCACCGTTTGCTTCCTCTAGTTGCATGCCTTCCCCCATCACCTCCCATCTCCCGTCACCTCCCATCTCCCATCACCTCCCATCTCCCACCCTATGCCGTGCTCTACCTTGTGCTGTCACCTCCACCTCCTGAGAAGCTGCCCAGGGCCCATACACTCTCCCATCTCTCCCATCCCCGTCTCCTTCTCAAAACCACGATGGTTTGGAAAAACTGATGGGAAACAAGCAGCAAACCCCAAATCACTCATGGAGGAACGCAGCTCCCCACTAGAAATTCCAGTCTGGAGGACAGACAGGGCACGAAAAGCCAATGCACCCTTTCCCTTTGGCAGCTTTTCCTAGCTGGTAGCTGGGGCTTGGCCCGGGGTGGTCCCCTGGGGTTCCCACCTCCTTCCTGGGTGCTGAACCCGAGCTGGGAGGCTGACAGCCACCTGTCTGGCAGAGGTGGAGGAGTTTGTGATGGTGCCCCTGCACGCCCAGCCCAGCAGCGCGGTGGATGAGATGGACGCGCTCTACGATGTCTACACTGACGTGGTCGACAAGTGGGCGACTAACGTAAGCAGCGGTGGGGAGCTCAGCTCCGCCCCGGGGCAGGCGGGAGGGCTGGGGTACAACCACCACACATCCCGGCAGCCGTCCCGGGGTGGACATGTCCCACGGGAGATCCCTTGCACCCATTGGAGCAGGTGCCACCCTGGCAAAGTCCAGCCGGGGGGCTGCGGGGTGGCCCCCCTGCCATTACTGGGGGCTTGTCCTCCTCTGCTGGGAAGACCCAGGGGGGTCCGGTAAGATTTTGGGGAGCCCTTGCTGCCCCGCAGAACATCTTCTTCCTGGGAGACTTCAACGCCGGCTGCTCCTACGTGACCAGCGCC